TAATGTTTCCTTTGTAGTTCTATTAATTGACTAAAAATTGAGCCACAGGCAGGGGGGTGGGGGGAGAGACTGGGAGATGGGTGAGTGAAGTTCCAGGTGTCCCACCAATCTCTAGCCAATTAGTTAAGCCTGGTCTTTTTTATGATTTTGAGTTTTGTTCCACATTTCTCTACCTCTGGTATTTATTCATGTTCCCCTGCCTACCCTGTAGTTCTCATCTACTGGACCAATGGTACGGGGATGAGAGCCTATTAAGCCTAGAGCAGTAATCCTTAACGTTGGCAACACATTGGGATCCATGGTAGGGATGAGTCATCAAAGGTGCTAACGCCTGAGCCTCACTCACACTGCAGAAAATCTCAGGATTTTTAAAGTTTCCACTAGATTTAGAAATCCTTCTATACTATTTGTTGTTGTTGTTAAGTTGGTTCTGACTCATAGCGACCCTGTATAGAGTTTCCGAGGAGCAGCTGGTGGGTTTGAACTGCCGACCTTGTGGTTTGCAGTTCACTGCTGATCCACTGTGCCACATAGATTGCATCACATGAGAGCTGCCTGAGTACAATGAAGTTTTCTGAGATACCCATTTTTTGCAATGTTATCCATAGCTTGTCATGAATAACACAGTTGAAAGCTTTCACATAGTCAATAAAGCACAGGTGAATATCTTTCAGGCATTCTCTGCTTTCAGCCAACATTCATCCAAGGTCAGCAATGATACCCCTTGTCTGAATCCAGCTTGAATCTTTTGCAGATCCCTGTCAATGAACTGTTGCATGTGTTTTTGAACTATCTTCAATGAAATTTTACTTGCATGTGATATTAATGATATCGTTCAATGATTACTGCATTCTGTTGGGTCACCTCTCTTTGGAATGGTCGCAAGTATGGATGTCTTCTAATCAGTTGGCCAGGTAGCTGTCTTCCAAATTTCTTGGTATAGATGAGTGACTGCCTCCAATGCCGCATTAATTTGTTCAAAGTTCTGATTCCAACTTACATTGTTAGTACCTATCAAAATTACAGACATTCTGTTCATGCTGTTCCTTCCAGAATGTTCCCTGCAGACCTATTCAGACACAACCAAGATGGTATATGAAGATGGTTATTCATTGTAGCCTTGTTTGTAATAGAAAGCTTAGGAACAACTTCAGTGTTCTTCAATAGGGGGTTGTTAAAATTAACTGTGTGGTATATTCACAGAATAGAATATACCATCCCCTTGTAAATAAAAAAGAACAAGAAAAAAGAGGCTAGCTCTTTATGGACTCACATAGAACATTCTCTGCTATATGTTGTTTTATAAACACAGCAAGGTGTAGAACTGTGTATATAGTAATATACGCTGCCATTTGTGTAAAAAATAAGGGGAAACAATCGGAGCTCAACCAGAAGCAAAAAGAAGAGGAAAAAAATATATATATATATATTCTCAAACAATTTGATGAACTTGACCTACACCTATGGAAGCAGTAGCTCAAAAGAGGGAACAAGTCCTTACA